GCACCTCAGCAGAGAAATGGGCTGATGGGAATCTCATGAAGCTCAAAGGGAAAAGTGAAGTCATGCATGGGGGAGGAATAACTCCGTGCACCAGTACAGACTGGGGATCAACCAGCTGGAAAGCAGCTTGGCAGAAAAGGACCTGGGGTCCTGATGGACAAGTTGAACATGAACCAACAACATGCCATTGTAGCAAAGTCAGCCAACAGTCTCCTGGGCTGTATTAAGAAAAGTGTTGCCAGCAAGTCAAGAGATGCAGTCCTTCAGTCCTTCCCCTCTACTTGACACTGGTGAGACCACAGCTGGACTGCTGTGTCCAGTTCTGCACTCCCCAGTACCAGGAAGACATCAACACACTGATGCAAGTTTGCTGAAGGGCCTAGATGATGATTAAGGAATTGGAGTATCCGATCTACAAGGAGAGGCTGAGAGCTGGGGTTGTTCACCTTCAAGAAGAGAAGGTTCAGGCAGGGAGATCCTATCGCTGTGAAAATATACCTGATGGTAGGGAGTAAAGACGACAGAACCAGACTCTTCTCAGTGGTATCCAGCAACAGGTCAAGAGGCAATAGGCACAAAATACAGGAGATTTCATTTAAAGGTAAAAAACATCCATCTTTTTACTCTAAGGGCGATTGAACTCCAGAACACGTCCCTCAGAGGGGTTGTGGAATCTCCATCTTTGGATACCCAAACCCCAAATGTGCACAGCCCTGAGCAGCCTGCTCTAGTTGACCCTCCTCTGAGAAAGGGGGTGGAAGTAGATGATCTCCAGAGGTGCCTTCCAACCTCAACCATTTGGTGATTCTCAGGAATTCAGAGCTGCTCACTTGAAGTCAGTCATTTCTGCTCCTCAGACCACATCCATCTTGTAGATATTTCAGAGTTTCTTGCCACAGCACCCTTTCTCTGCTCAGTATTTTTAGCTCATTGTTTTGTATTTTGCCAGCTGAGAAACTGCAGTTTGTAATTTTACCTTCAGCTTCATATTTCTTCTTAAAAGTGAATACAATGTCCTGTTTATAATAATAAAATCACTAGTTGGCAGGATGACATCAAATGGAAAAAGAGAAAGCAACTGGAAAATTTAGAGCAAGCAATTTTGAGTGCCAAGTTTCACATTTGTAATAGTCCAGCGGAGGTCAACAGGCTCACTTATTATTAGGCAAATGGTAAAGAAATAGATATCCTCAATTTCTTCCATGTTAGACTATATAAACCATCTCTACTTGAACAGGTTCTAACGCTTTCCAAAAGAGTGATGTTATACATTTTCCACAGTAACACCAACAATGGGAGACAAGCAAAAGGCAGAACTGCTTTGCAAAGAACGGCCTTTTTTCTCTCTCCAATATTTAGGTTTTTGTTTCCCACTATGATCGGACTTTCCTGGCTTTAGTTTCTTGTCCCAGTTAAGCAGTAAAGGAAACAAAAAGATATGAATGAAACTAGAAACATTTAGAATGAGTCTTAGAAATAGCTCTTGGGTTTCTTAGATTCCTGGCTACACCTCTTCAAATGGCCTCCTCCTGCTGCCCCCGTCTCCTGCACCCATCTCTGAAATTTGCATTTCCTCCTTTGCGCTGACCCCTTCTTCTGTTCACGGGCTATATTTTGTCCCATACCACTGAAACACTAAGTGCAAAGCAAAGCAAACAAGGAAATGAAAATTACATGTTGAAACTCTGGAAAAGACCAGAAAATGGTTGAAACTCTGCACCCATCAAAATTTATCTCTATGACGTTAATCCTCCAAAGTTTCTCTGAAAGCAGAAACCAAACACTTCTCAAACTTCTAATGAAAAAATACCAATTCCAGTCAACCTGAATAATAAAATGAGAACTCTGGTCCTATCTGTATTATCACATTTAAAGTCTCTGGAAGGGAAGTTTCCTCAACGACGCTATTCTGATACTTTATGAAACTTCATGTTCTCTATAAAATACAACTGCAGTATGCAATGCCAACACCTATTACTTCCCTAGTACTTTTCATTAGAAGTTTTTGGTGCTCTTTACAAACAAGTAAGCTCGGAGTGCCTGTGAAATACTTGCTTAATTTTACAAATAGATAAACTCATGCAAGTAGAAAGCAGATGTCCGTGGCACAACTGTGCAGTAGTGGCAGAGTAGAGAGTTAAATCAGCTAAAAGATTTCAAAGCCGTCCACGAGGTTTGAATCTTTTCTGCCTTAAGTAATATTAAAATATTATGTAAACCTTTCTTTGTGAGCCATTACTGAAGAAATGAGAAAAAAAAAAGAAGATCTCTTGGAAGCAATTCTGCACAGGCTATGTAGGTGAGATCACAGTTGCTATCCAAACAGACTATGCATGGCAAGAACAGGTTTCCTGTAAAACTGTAAGACTTGCAGGAAGATCAAGGAATGTATTTACAAGATGGCACGGACAAAATATCCTTCCCTCCTCTTGCCCAGCCTCAGCAGCTTCGTGAAACACATCATCTCACTTTCATCTAAAACCACACTCACAAGTGCCTCCAGTGCAGAACCTCTACCTCCGTGCTCTACTCAGTAAATAGATTCAACCACGCTCAGGACACTGGTTAGCAGAACACAGAAGTTACCTTTTGAGGAGGAAAGAGTCATTTCCCATGATGAAAGGAAACAAGGAAAAGTTATCTCAGGAAGAGGAAACACCTGAAAACCCAAGACTTTGATCAGATCTCACTTCCAAATCCCAAAAGCTTAATGCATGACACTAGAAAATTTACAGCACTGTGTTACAGAACTGGAGAGGATTTACTAGAGATGGAAGTATTTTAAGCCCAACTCTAATACGTGTTTAGTCTAGTCAGGTGACTGTACATAACCTGAGGAGCCTGACAGTTCAACATGCATAAAGTACAGCAAAGATGGGCACTCACGGAGGCAGGTGCCATTGAACACAGTGTGAGTTCCCCTGGAAAACAAGGCACAACTCCCATGTGCACCCAGACGGGATACCCAGGTTCAGACGTCTTCCTCTGGATGCTAGCCTGGGCCAGTGTGTACCAGCTATTTCTATGACACCACAGACCACAACACACTTATTGCTGACAATATGAAAGCTAGTATTTAATACCAAGTTAAAGCTGAGCTACCTTGGGACTCATCAAGAATATTCTCTCAAGGTCTGATGGGTGAGACCAGAATCTCTTCTGGCCAGGTCTCCAACTGCAGGACTCCACTCAGCTACGATTCATGCTACATTTACTAATAAAACTCATCTTTTTCTGGGCAGACAAACCTCTCACTGTGAGGGAACAAAAAAGAAGACTCATTTGTATTTTCCATAACTAGAGGTCTCATGTTATCTCCGTATGCGTTTAGACCATAGACTAGTTAGTCACCGGTGTGGCAGTTGACATTAAAAGGATTAGTAAATTAAGCTCAAATAATTGTCTTAAAAACTTTGACTGTTAAATGTTTATATTTGAGAGGATCAAAAGGAAATCTACTTTGTAGTGTGCACTGTGGTCGGGAAGGGGCAGAGAGGGATTTAAATGGCTTAACTGCAAAACTGTTATCACCTTGATAAGTCCCAGTGTAATAATTCAGCAATAAAAGCAAGAAATGCACTTGGAATTTGTTTCCAAAACTGATTGTCTGACTGGAGACAAGTCAAGCTCTTTATTTGCTTGAAAGAACTTGGTCAGAAGAAACAGAGAATGCTACTGAAATGTAGTCAAGAATATAAAAATAAGCACTTTCTACTGACTTCTGAACTGCAGCATTTATTATCTTTTTTTTTTTTTTTAAAGCTACTGGAAGTCTACAGTCTGGATCTCGTATTTGAGTGTTACCACTAGTCAACCAGGAGTGTAATTCTCCCCTGAATCATTCCATTGTATGGCAAGGGAAATCAAGTAAAGCTGAAGCAGTAAGGAGGTTGCAGGTAACAGTGCAGGATTAGGTCCAAAGTAACACCTGCAGTCCAGGTACAGATAGAAATGGCTGCAGTTTGTCAGCTTATCCACTCAAATTTCTGATGTCCATGCCAATAACACAGATAGATAAACTTAAGAGAGAGAGGAGTTTGCTACATATATGCAGGTGCTTGTACCAGTGCAGTGTCTTGAGGGATCAGGCTCATGGGGCTGTTTCACCTCAGCAATACACAAGAGAGCAATGAATCTGCCAATTGAGACAGGATGTCCTAAGTATAAGCAAGGGTGGGAGTAGAACACACCATATCATCTTAATAATGCATTTAATGTTTTGCTTTCTTGTGCCTTCCTTTATTGCAATGTGAAGTTCTAAACAAATTGCTTCTCTTTTGTCTTTAAACCTTTTCTAGTAAAGACATCTCTGAAATCTGACACTTTGAAGTATGGCAAACTCACTAGCTTTGGGTAGTCCAGCAATGTCAGAGTGTCTGCCACCCAACAGACGGTGCAGTTCCCAAAAGCTGGTGGGAACATCACTAAGTTGAAGGGATGGCTAATGTGAGGTAGGTGGACAGCACAGAGTTGCCAGGCTGCAGGGAGGGACCACATTTGCCAGCTGCTAACCTGATCAACAGCTGTCATAAACTCCACATGACACTGGTTCTTCAAAACAGAGAAAAATGTTGAGACTAGACAGGAAAACACAGGACAGTCTCTACCTGTGCTTAAGTTTCAAAGTAACAATGTCCAAGATCATTTGATCTGCCAGGCATTCAGAAAACCTCTGCTATAAAACTACCACTAAAATACGTAATACATTCCAGACAAAAACATAAAGCTTTCAGATTAGGTGCCAAACACTGAATTTTCAGTTTTCAATAGTTCTTTTGAGAAAAAGCCTCTTTGCCTGACAAAATACTTCTCCAAATAACTGACCTTCTGAGTTTGTAGAGTACTTTCAAAAGCACTTTCTTCCATGTTAGCACAGGTAATGTGTAATATGGTACATGTAATAAAGTCAGTGCCTTTTCAAAGTGTGATGAAAGCAAAAAAAATAGCACAACTCTGCACCAACCCAAGAAGGAGTGTCAGACTGCGCTTTTTGTCGTTACCTTAAATCCTTTCTTTTGGCCAACTCTCCCGGTGAGATAACCCAAGGCAGGCTCTGGGGAAGACATTCCAGGGCTTCGGGGGAAAAGTCAGAGAAATCCACACCATACTCCGTCAGGATTCCTTCCGTTTCTGGCTCAATCTCCCCGGCCTGCCCAAGACTTTTGGCCAACTGCCTGCAGAAAGAAAGACAGGGATGCCTTTTTAAAGTGTATAATTACCATTGTCATGTTGTTACTGAACCCCTAGAGAGGCTGCTGAGCCCCCAAACATACTCTTTCACCCACTCACTTCTCTCTGAGTTTTGGCAGAGGACTTAGCAGGAATTCAGATGATACCACAACCTATACCTGCTGGAGATGCAAAACCCTAGCCAGACAGTCCCCTGGGCTGTTGCGTGCATCTCATTTCAAGGAGACATTTTACATTATTAGGATTTTGCAGAGGTAAGAAAGTGTCAAATTTTAGAAAAAAATACATCCAACAGGGATAAGAAAAGCACAGCTCTCCACATAGGCAGCTCTAGCTTTACACACGGCTGGTTCCCTTGAGATCCTCCTTCCTTTCCTCACCACTGAAAAAGGTGACTGACCCCTACTACCCAAAATGGAGAACAGATTCCCACCAGATCCCAGACAGCTCTGCAGAAGACAGCTCCCAGGGAGTTCAGGACACTACTCTCCATCCCAAAGGACACGCATCTCTGTGAAGAACCCTTACTGCCTTTCTTACAGGAGTCGCACACACAGACGTGCCCACAGATTGTCTTTCCAACCATTTTCCAGGCTCTTTCCAAGACCTAAACATTCCCAGTAGTTTGTCCCTCCTTTCCTAGCTCAGTAGAAGCCTCTGAACCAGGAGCTAACTGGAGAAGAGCCAACGATCTAGACACAAGTCATAGACAAGGGAAATTGTCCCCCACATGCTAATAGTCTTTGATGAAGTATTCTGCACATGTGTGGATGAGGCTGCTGCTCTATTATGCTTAGAGAAAATTTCCATCTGCTCCAGTGCAAACCCCGTAACGCGTTTGTCCAGGAGCTCTGGTGTCAAACAAGTGTTTGGCTCTGGACACAGCATGCAAACCACAACTCCAAGGGACTGGGACATTTTTTCCCCTCTCCAGCTGGTTACAAATACCACATGACAACCTATATCCCATGGTGGTTCCCCTTGTCCCCTTTCTCACCCCCAGATTGCTCTACAGTACACAGAGGTAATTTTTTTTTTTCTTTTTTAATATACTGCCATTAGGGTAAATGGCATATTACAGCCAATAGAGATAATGCTCCTGACTCAAGAAAATTACAACTGAAATTAAGGCAAATCCATCAAAATATGACACAAAAGAGAGGGGTAATAACACAGTGCAAACCCAGCCACTCTAATAAGTGTTTTTCCACTGCATAAAATACACAATCATTATATTGATCCTTCTGCTTTAATTCCAATGAGTGAGAACAGGCACTAATTACTTTCCTAAATTGGGGCCAAAACAGTGCACTTGTCATTTGGACAAGTAAGATGCTCTCAGGGCTTCAAATGTGCCATAAACCCACAGAACCAACCCCATCTACGCAGCACAAGCAAGCCCATCTTCTTTATGGGAGCAAAGCTATCTCTCTTCACAACGGGAAGGGCTGCATAATAAACCTGTCACATCGTGTAATATGCTGGAAAGGATTGTGTGCTTCGTGGCGTGGTAAATTGTAGAGTTCACATTGCCAAGCTTTAAAATAAAAATGAAAACAAGGAAAAAAGATATTTCCCTTCATTGTTTCAATTTTATGTACAAACTGTATGGCAGAAATACGTGCACGTTTGGCATCGAGGCTGAGTTCTCTGTTCCCGCAGCTGGGTCCCAGTCTGATCCTTATTTTAATGTAAATAAATGAGGCATCAGTTTTATCTCCCTCTCTCTCAGCAGTAACAATAAACCAGAGAAATCACCACTTCATTTCCAACGTCTAGTGCGGAGCTGGGAGACTGAGCAAGGACGCGCCCATGGGTCCACAAGCCCAGCAGCACCACCAAGGTCGGACTGAAAATAAAAGAGGAAAAGAGAGGACATGTTGCCCTACCAAAAAGAAATGGCAAGAGCTTTGGTCTTAGGTACTCCTTCTCTTGGAAGGGCAGAGTTGGGAAGTGCACCAGGAGGGCGGCTGGACGTCTGCACGACAAGTCATGGAAAGCACTTCTGAATGCCAGAGTGCTTTCCAGCTCAGTCTTGAAGCCCATGTTCTCTTGATCCGTTTACTGAAATTAGATTATGAACCATAAGGGGTTTACCCAGAGGTTTGATATAGGACTAATATTTTTTTAATAGTAATTAACATTTGATTTACAGTGTTCCAGGGAACCTTTCCCAAGTACCTTGAAATAAAAAGTGTACAACTGACTTTAATTGGGGCCATGTTACAGTCACGCAGACATGATGACTTGCATCAGAGCAAAATCTGACAGGACAGCATGTGATCAAAGGTAATGCATATAGGATCACCGATGGCCCTGAAGTAACAGTCAGGCTGTAAAATCACTCATGGGGTTCTGCGGCCACCAAGGGTAGCAAGAATAGTTCAAGAGGCTTATAAACAACAACAGGCACAGGGCCCAGCAGCAGTCAGACATTCACTCCCAGGGAGTCACGGTGTCTGTGACACCCCAGGCTTGCATGTATCATTTGTGGTTTTTTTTTAATGTTAAAAGATAAAAAAAATTATAATGGTTACAGACGTAAACATTTCTTTTCTGTGACGTTGATGGGGGAGCATTACTTGGAATTCCTTGAATAACCTTGGACTGACGTCAGACACAGTGGTAGCATGCATCAACAGGAACGTGTCGTGGTCGGAGAGTTGGGCAGCACCCAGCACAGGGTATTTCTCCAAATCAGCCATAGCTGCAAGCTCATTGAACTGCTCCAAGCTGCCGATGCACCAGAGCTTGACCTCCCATGCGTGTGCACCTGGGGCAGAGCCACATGCATGCTGCCATCTTCCCCTTCAAGGTGACACTGATCTCATTTATTTGGCCACCCATTTCTAAACATTTGAGCCCTCTCCACTCCCCAGACTCAGCTGAAACTGGCCAACATGTTCAAAGGTTACATGATAAGAACTCTCCAAAAAGACAAAGTATAATTACATAAGGCTTGCTTCCTTTGGAAAGCCGGGCAGCCTCCCAAATGGGAGTAAATAACTTCCATGGAGACTTACCAACCTTACTCAGTCTCTCCTGGAGCAGACTTGTCCACAGTCATCCTACATGGAGGGTTTCTTTAAGCAGCAGGAGAACATCCTACACATCAGTAAGTCACCACTCCTAGAGGAAGCTTGTATAGGAGCAGGAGAGGGGACAGCAAGGAAAGCCACCTGGCTGCTCCCACTGCCCAGGGCCCGGAGCTCACAGGCAGAGCTGCACAGCCTTGAGAAAATCCAAAGGTCCCAGTGGAGATGCCGAGATGGCTGCATGGCTGAGCATCACGGAGACAGCGAGCTGTGTCATGGGAATGCCCAGCACCCGAAGCACAGTCCAGCCCCACTCCACGCCACGGAGCTGCCTCCCCACCCGCCGTTGGAGCACACGAGCAGCACGGTGCTCCCCATATAGATGGGGCCATCCCACGCTTCAGAGCGGTACAGTGATTAGCTGTGCCGAGGGAACACAGCTTTACTGAAACACAGTCCCGTCTGCACGAAGCTGTTTTTCAAACAGACTTAACACTGCTCGGGGATCGGACCTTCCCTCGAGCCTTACAGTGAGCTACTCAAGGTATCTGGTCATTTCCCCCCACACCAAATACATTTGTGAATCAAAAAACCAGAATAAAATGCCAGACATGAAAGGAATTCAAGCCACTTGGATGGCTTTGGAAAGTGTGCCAAGTGAAAGAACACCCTGCAACATTTCATTTTATTGCAAGCGTCGTGACAAATCTTGTCACCTTGACAGATCAATATCTAAGGCCCTGAGCTAGAAATAGCCACAAGCCCTGTGCAACATAGAGGGAATCAGTGATTCAACGTTTTACTATTACTTTTTTTTTTTTAAATAGTCTCATCCATCATCATATGTGGGGGCAAAAAGTTTCCACCTTATCCATCTCCAAAAGTGTGGAGATGTCTGGACTAATACTCTAAACAGCCCTGAACTCCAACGCTGAAAAAAGGTTCCCCAGAAAATACCCGTATGTGGCAGTACTTGTAATATTTATCTCAAAAAGGAGACTATTTTGGAGCTATTTTGCTTTACCTGCTACCTGAAGCAGGTACAGTTAAATGGCATTTCACTGCCCCGGTCAAATCACTTCACACACAGGAGGGAGCACAGCAGCACACACTCAGCGCATCGCCAGTGGGACATGGAGCCATTAGTTCCTCCCTGCTCCTTCCCAGCACAGCTGGGGGGACAGGGTGGCCTTCAGAGGGGACAGTGTCTCACTGGTGACCACCAGGTGGCAATCACAACACAGAAACAGACCCCCCTCCCCAAGGGGACCTCCAGGGACTGTCAGGTTGCCCCCTGTGCAGCTGACCACCCTGGGTGGCCAGTGTCACCACCAGACTCTTGGCCAGGGCATCCTACTGCTCCAGTCACACTTGGTCATTGTGAAGACCAGACCATGCCATTGACTGTGCTTGGAAACCTGGCACTGAACTTCCCAAGGGAAAAGGAAAGCTGAGGAAGGTGCATGATGAGCCTGGTGGAGTAGCTGCAGGACGGAGAGTACCTGGAAACACCCAAGGCATCCAGGGGAAATGACTGCCAACTATGGAGGGAGTTTCCCTTGTACTTCCAAGCAGACTCAGATGGTGCAGAGTGATGACCTACAGGTTCTTTAGTCCAGGCACCTTCAAAACCATGGTGGTGCTGCCAAAGGGGTATCATGAAGTCTGTGGGCAGAACTAAGGAGTGCGCAAGAAAGTTCAAAAAACCAACCATGCAATGAGCTGCAGATCACCTGCTGTTCTCTCCTTCAGGTGGGCCACGACTAGCAACACGGCTTACAAACAAGCTTATAAACCAACCCAAAAGCAAACAGGAACTTTTGAGACCTTCAAGAGGTTTCCTTGTCTTTTATAGTTAAAACCAAAATGGGTCACCAAGGCTTTATGCTCCCATCTCCACAAGGCACTTACAGAAGTTCAACCAAGTCCCAGAGGAAACAGCTAAGTATGAAGACAATCATGGATGGTTTTTTTCCTGACAACACCCTTTACATCTTGGAAACTACTAAAACAGCCAGATGAGAATATGCAATGTTGTCAGAAGCACATATTAAAGACACACACATTAGCCAATGAAAAAAAAACATTAGCCTATCCTCCTAATTTCCCCCGTTTCTGCTGAATGACAAGAAGCCAAGCAGTACAATCACCCTCCAGTCTTTTCTCTGTCGGAGTCAAAGAAGACAAAGAAAATCTCTGCCAATAAGAAACTTAGTCACAGTGAAGTTCACAGCACAGCCAGCCTCTAGTTAAGTGGGGCTCAAAGGGAGGCCACTTCAGTTCATGCACTGCAGTTTAGCTAGGAAATACTGAGTGACTTAACAGCTCCTGTGGCTCTCAAAGAGTACACGTGAAACTTGCTATTACTGGGCACACAATGCAGCCACAACTGATAATGAACTTAAACTCAGGGAAACAGGGACCTTCGTTTAGTTTACTTTTAGTTCTAGGGCTGATAGAACCGTGCCAACATACTTACTCTTAAAAAATAAAAAAAGTTTTATGTAAGATTTAAGCTTTACCAGGAGTTTGAGCTGAGGACTCCAAAAGCCATGGTGCTGACACTGTAGCTCAGCCGTGTTACCCCATCAGAACAGTTTTGCAAGGGGAAGAGAAGTTCCAGATTACATCCAGATCCCCATCACCTGTAAAATTTGACCACAGCAATGCCATAGGTCAGAGGTACCTACTCTGGATCACCAACTAAACCAGGACTACTCAGTTTTTCCCAAGATAACTGAATAGATTTGTCAATGTCCACCATTTCTTATTGAGAACCACTCAACAGGAAACAGCGTGGCCACTCCAGGTGGGATCTTAGCACACTGCATCTGTTCCCAAGAAAAGAGTGAAAATGCTGAAAACTACAGGGTCTTCCTCGTGGAGAGGCAAAATGAATTTGCAATCTGGATTCAGCCCAGCAATCTGTGTAGCCCTGGCTTAAAATCTCCTCCTTCATGGCAGTGCTTGCAATATGAACTCTGGACAGCAATGGCTTTACAGTGCTCCTGAAACGCACAGAGTGCAACACCCTTCTCATCTGCTTCAGGAGTGAATGAATCTTCATTTCTAGTATTCTTCCTTGATGCAATGCAAATTTAAAAGCACAAAAATCTGTGACTTCTTTCTACTTCTTATCAGTAAAGGCTTAAAAACCAAAGATGACCCTCACAGCTACTGATCTTCTTCCTCTGGCAGAAGTGAAATGCCTATGCACTGTGTACTACTCTTACACAAAGGGAGGAAAGACTGAAAGGCCGCCAGCACCCCATGGTGCTTGTGCTGGTCAGGCTAAGTACCTGTGTGTGTTCCCTCTAGACTGCAAGCTCTTCTGAGCAAAGACCGTATGCTCATTAATGCTGTGATGTGCCAGCACACTGAAGCAAGCACCAAAAGAAACTAACATTACGTAACCATGAGATTATCTAGTGATGAGCTATCCTTAGCCTCATCACAGTTTATCCACCAAATACCAGAGGGATACAAGACAAACACCTTGTTAACAGATAACTGTCCCTACTGCATGTATCAAATTAAGTGAAATCAAGAACTCCGACTAGAAATCTCAGTCATCTCTACTTCTAATGGCAGCCACATACCCTGTTGCAAAGTTGCTGTCTCCTTTCCAGTCCACTATGCGACAGATGAAGAGTATATTTGAATAGTCCTCAGGCCTGGTCACAAAGTCTGGAGGGCAATCAGCTAAGGACACATAGGCCCTGGGCACTCTGTGGTCCACAGGTGAGAACATGGCACACCTCTTGAAGAGTTCACTGTTCCTGTCTGCCAAAAGCTTGATGAAGCCTGTAGCTGCTCGGGAATGCTTCTTTTCCAAAATATAGACCACCTGGAAGAGGCAAAGGTTTCTACAGTTAATACCTTCAAAGAAAATTATTTTCTTTAACAGAATAGGGATACACAGAGGCTTAGCAGAATATCTGGAAAAAACACAAAGCCTATATCATGTTTTCCCTGTGTGTGTATACATCTGTGTGCATTTTTTAACTGAGTACCTATTTACAATGTATTTTCCTTGCCATCTTGCTCATGGCTATAGAAAAGCTAAGTGCCTTCCAAGTGCTAGCTCTCTACAGCAATTTTCTTGATTACAGAACAAAACCAGACAAGAAGCAGATGCTTCCAAATGCAGGGAATTAGCCACAACATACAAGCAACTCCTGTAAAATCTTTCATTTGTATCCTCAGCCTCTGATTTCGACATTCAGCGCAGAACAGGCCAGTCCAAAAACAGTGCCGCTGGCGGATCCAATGCTAACCACAGGAAAGGATGTGCTGTGGGGAATTTGGCAGTTCTCTCCTCCTCTCTGTGCTTTCTGAAGTTAGGGGTTATTTTACCTTTATACAAGATGGCTTTGAAAAGAATAATAAATTACAATATCACTAAATAATTGTTCCAGAGAGGTGTTCATCCAGGCTATATTTTTGTAGACCATAATAAATCACTGGATAACAGAAATATTATAGCTGATTTCCTAAGCTTACACAAAAGAGTCCTTCCAGAAGGTTTCAGTAGCTGCACCTCTGTGCAATTCTGAGCGCTGGAATTGCCACGCTGGATGAGACCAGAGGGCAGCCAGCCCACCACAGGGACCAGAATCAGAGGTGGCAAGGGAAAGCACAAGACGTGGAAGAGACCTGACCCAGGGTGACCCAGTAGTCCTTTTCTGGTCTCTTAATATTCAGAGATTGACTCAAATCTTGAACCAACAGCACTAGCAGCCTTTCCAAAGTCTGTAAGAATTAATTCTGACAACTTTGGATATCCTGACGCTCATATTAGTATCCAATCTTTTTCCTGAATCTTGCTAAGTAATTCTGCGTAACAAACAAAGAGAATTTAAACTAGGATAATTGGTAAAAATAACAAGACACTTGATTTTTATCAGATCGGACAATTACTCTCTTTGAAATGGAGAATAAGATTCAAAGATCAACAGATGGAGACTACAAGGAGGCCAGGGCTGGTCTCCTTCAGTCTTTGGGAGTGCTCACGGAGTTACCTTGGCTGTCCTTTGAAGAAACTTATCTGGGAGGAGCCTGGGATCATCCACCTTGGTTCCATCGTCTTGCTTTGTTTTGTGCACACCACCGATCCCAACAGCCTTTGCTGCATCAAACAAACACAACATTTACTGTAGCACATTTCCAGGACAAAATTGTGTTGGGCCTTTGCTGTAAACTACAATACAAGGTGCATGTAGTAGACTTATTTGAAAGGAAAAACATCTCTCAAGTAGAATAGCCAAGCATGACGCAATTATTATTTCTCCAGACTACCACTGAAAGCAGATATATATTCACTCACCACGTAGATCTGCTGAAAAACAACAAAAAAAAATCAAAATAAATCCCAACTTTACAAGTAGAGCTATACCAGCCATACTAAAAAAAATGGTGGAAAACACATTCTGTTTATTAAATACTAAGAACTACATGAATTTTCTGGCATTTCTTAGGTGAAGTCATTAACATTACATAAGTAGTCCTTTAAGTACATACATTCACTTAACATTTAATTTCCTGTAAGAACATTATGCAAGGTTATAAAATGCATCTTTATCTTTGAAATTGAAACGATATCTACTAAGTTGACCCTCTTCGGCTGTGGACCAGGACTATGAAAAGGTCTTATGAAAGTAATTGCTATATATGACAAACAGCTCCCTCCCCCTGAAATCTCTTGACAAGATACCGATAATATTTAAATCAACTGTCAACTAATTTCTAGTTTGCAATTTTCAGATATTCAAGTATCTGAGTTTGGAAGTATCTGCTATAGACGGCTGGCACACTGAATGCACTTAGTGTTTACAAACATCCAAAGTGATCTTTGCCATGGTTAAGGCTGGGACCAGTCCCTTCTTGAGCTGCATCCCTGCTTAGAGCCTGTGGTTACTGTTCCAACAGTGTTTTTCAGATGGAAACGTCCATGTGCTGTTGTATGGAGGGCTCATGGAAGATGGCTGCCTTGTTCCACTTGTATGGCAATCACGTCCATCTCAAGCGCATGTGCTAAAATCAGGCCTTGAGTGTTCTAAGAAATTTTGCTTTCTTAAAGAGAGATCATGGCACTGACTGCAAGTTTCAAGGGACGTAGCTGTCACCGTTTCCCTTAGAAGACACGAGATAAAGCAACATTTCATGCAGACTGTGCTCCAGCAGGCCAACGGCGCTCTCGAGCACGAGAAAGCCTCAAGGAGAACAGCGGTGACACGCAGACCCCTGGCCCCCAGCTGACACCCATCTGTCCGGCAGGGATCCTCGACAGAGGCTGCTGGTGACATGACGGATGACGAGGGCCAGGCTGTGGGAGGGGAGACCGCAGCTGCTGGCAGTGCCCAGCAGTGCCGAGGCACTGGGGACCGGCACACGGGGGGAGCCGAGGTGGAAGCGGGGGGCTGCAGCTTGCCCCGAGGGGAACGGCTGTGCACCACCACCACGGGGGCACGTTCACAGATGGTTGTGCCACCGCGGACGGCCTGGCTTGCCTTCAGGGCACGTTACCCCAGCAGTCGTTTGACAATGACGGCTATCGCTCTAACGACAAACTCTGGTTCTCATATGCCGCTAATTACCCCCAGCTTTGCCTTCTGATACAAAGCTCTTAAGACTTCGCCTCTCCCCAGAGATCATCTTTTTCAGAAGAATCTAAGTGATTTTAATTTTATATTATCTTTACTGACTTGCTAGCAAGGCCAAGAGGAGCATGGACAGATATTCAGGGGTTTAAATAAAAATCTACTTGCCTAAAAAAAGCAGCAGCAAACCCATTTCTCTTTTACTTCCACTGAAATGAACTCAGATTTGCCACAACCAGGGTTACTAAGGGATAAAGCCACCCAGAGTTTCATGGTGACAAAGAAGTTGGGAAAAAAAATTGCTCAGGTAATTACAAACAGTACAAAAAACAGGGATACTCAAGTTACCTCATTTGCTTACCTCCTCTAAGGTCTTTGCCACTTATAGGTCATACCAGGCAATCAGTTATCAAAAGATAAAAGTAAGGAGCCATTTTATTTTCTTATAAATTTTCAAGCCGTTAACAGTCATAGGTTTACGGTGTGCCAACCATAAAGACAGCTAGGATGAAGAACAGGACGATCTGGGACAAACCAACCCTGGCAGGGGCAGAGGGTAAGGGGAGGTTGGTTGCCTTCCAAAGGCCATGCCTTCAGGCACACCTGCCACCAGCCTAGGGCTTTACTGGAATGAACTCCCTCCACTGAATGGCACATACTGGTGGGAAGAGAAACCAGATCTAAACATGTTTAGGGAAAAAAGCAAGAGATGCATTCACTGCATTTTCCCAGCGTAGCACAATGACAGCAGCGACTCAAGCTCCAGCAGGCAAGAATGATAAGAGCACCAGGAGCCACACAAGGAACATGCCCTTGTTAGCACTGTCTTCTTTCCACTTATCCTTCCAACTCCCACTTCTCCAAAAAGTGGCTCGCATTTTTTCACTGAAGCAGCTTTCTGTGTCAAAAAAAGGAGCCAACAGTGATGTCCTTGGGAGGTATCACATACATGCATGCAAATGCACAGAAGCACAGGAGGGAGACGTAACGGGGAGCTCAGCAAATGGGTGACCAGGGCTTCCTTTGCCTGGAATGAAGAACATGCAGGGCTGGGGCGTTGCCCCCCATCCTGCTGACCCATGTGAACCCAGTACAGATATCAGAAAGCATCTAAATTCTCACTGTGGCACATGGTAGAACTTGCCTTTTTCCTTCACAGCCAACATCAGCCAGGGGCCTTTGGCTGCCTGGAGAGTATCTTCTTCTTCAGCGGTCTCTCCAGTTTCAGTATCCCTCCCAAAAAATCCTGGGTTATTAGAGAGTCCAGCAGACAGAGCTTGGAATCTACAACTATACCATCAATAGAAAGAAAGAAGGAAGCAAATCCTACCTACTTATTCCTACCCATCTTTCTTAATCAACTTCAGTATCTAAAAGGTCACCACATACCTTTACTAACAGGGAACGCTCCTGAAGCAAGGGACAGGGACAAAGACACATGAGGAACTCTGTACTACTGGGGTCAAGAGATGTGGAGCTCTCCATAGCTTGTAGCTGCTGCTTTTGAAGTCAAAATGCTGCCAGTACTGGGGCTACATCTAATGTTCAGAGGTCTACAATAGCGGAGCACCAGCACTGAGGGCTCCCTGTGACAAACCCCTCTGCTCAGAAAGGACAACTACTCAGATCCTATGTCCCCTGGCTCAATTGTCAAATTGCTGCACAGAAACCTCGGTCTCAACAGTGATAATCTGCCACAAGAGTCTGGTACCTGAGTTCCCTAAATATACTTCTGATAGTCCCTCTCTTTCATTGCACATCCCCCTTCCCTCCAGTGAAGCTGGAACTTGGTGGGTGGGCAGAGAGGGGAGGTATCAGGGCCCCACCGGAGACTGGTGGTCTAGAAGATCTGAGCTGGGAGACACAAACATCCCCCACAACAGGGCAGAGCCACGGAGGCAATCCTAAAGGAGAGTTAACTGGTGAGAAGAGCAGGATTTTGAGCAGGGGAGGTGGGAAGAAACTCCTTGCGTTATGCCAAACTAAAAATGAATTATTCTGACCCCTTTACTGCAGTGGTTATCCAATGACCATTCAATATTTCCACCCTGGGCAAAGACATGTTTTCTGAGAAAGATTTACTATGTTAGCTTGGGCAATACTTCATAAGCTTATCTTACAGTGAAAACACACTTCAGCAACTAGGATCCAGTGAAACTGCATTATAATCTCAGTGTTTTCCTTTCAGCAATTATCTGACAAACCAAAACTGTAATAGTCTTACTTAAAAAAAAATTAGGCACTAGATACAAAAAGTAACTCAAATTAGTTATGTTATTACCAACAAACCAGATCCAGGACACTTGGAATTTGCCTCCCTCTGTAAGAGATCAGTTTAGGCAGCTTCAGTACACACTTACATTTGCCTGACTGGCATTCCTAGGTCAAACATATTTTTTTTTAAAGCCCCCCAAATTTCCTTTTACAATTAAATTATCGTGACATTAAAAGGTGGCCAAAGTGGACCAAAAGTCAACAGACTAGAATTCTGATTAGTTGTGACAGATCCAAAATTATTTTCACTAGGTTTGCATTGGTCACTGTGGAAATTTGCAATTCTGTCCAAAAAGAATACAATTAAAGATGCAATATCCACTTGCAAATGAAAATATATCGCAGTTTCAGATCTCAAAAACAACTCACTGGAAAAAAAAAAAATCTCCCTCCCTGGATGGAAAGAAACAAGTTTTTTTAAAAAATAGTTCAATATTTGCTACTTCAGCTAGAAAAAAAAAACACCTACTTGAGAAGTTAGTTGGCTTACTCTACATGGGCATATCTAAGAATCCCATCAGAAGGTATTATTGATATGAAGCTTTTAAAAAAGAAAATACTGCTTTTCAGCTTAAACCTTTCAATAGCCAAGTCTACTACTTACTAATGAAGTAACAACACTTAGGTTCTCTGATGTCTCTTTCAATAAGCAGTTTTCAGCATATTACATTTTAGTACCAAATACATAAGGAAAGTGGTGTAAACCAAAGCAATTTATAATAAACATCTCAAGGATTGTGTCTAACACTCAAAAAGGATGTGTTTTTGGAAGTTCTGTCTATACCAATGCAAGAGACATATGGAAATGAAAACCCCCTTCAACCAAAAAGCGATACATTCAAATGCATGCACAGATTTGCCCTGGGTTACACTATTCTGCTACAATCTTCATTTTTAAGGACAACAAGAAGGGAACATGTTGCCGTTTAGAAGAAGTATAAGCGTTCTTCACATTCTGCCACTGATGTTTATTGGCACAGAACAGGTTTTCCCTCCAGAACACAAAACTGATGGTAGGAACCAGTGGTTCACATCATACTTGGTCCTCCCTTCACCAAGTAAACCAAAACGTAATTTTTTGAGGATCAAAGCAAAAAGGATCTGGTTTCTTAGAAACATCTGTCCCTAGCTGGACGATTTCAGTTCCTACAAAGTTATTTCAGTATCTACAGAGGTAGGAGCTCTGAACTTCTCCTGATCTTGGCAGATTTCTCCCCCACAGAGTCTGCAGTACAGAGGTCCAAGTGAGCTCTCT